GTAAACACTGTACAAATTTAGTAAGATTTTTGCTTATCCTGTCCTATGTAAAATGTGGTGAAAAGATAGTGGAATTGGTAATATTGATAGAAGATATATTGCTTGCCTTGTTCTGTAATTGTGGAAAAATGATGGAGCATATTCACTGTTGTTTAGTATAGATGAAAATGGTGGAAGTTGTCGAGATGCTAGGCTAGTGATCATGAATTTCTCTATTTTCTTAGTTCGTGTAGTAATCACATTTTATTTTGTTCTAGGATGAAAGGAATGAACTTTGTGTTTTTCATAGCTGTAGAAGCACATACAAATTATTTAGGGACTGCCCGTTAAAACGATAATGCCCATATTGTGCACACGGAATGCAAAAATGTTTTGAGGTTGAAAACGAGGCAAAGAACAAAAGGACGATTATTCAAAACTTGTAGTGTGAATTGTGGGTATTTTAATTGGGTCATAGTCGAAAAACAAGACATCAAAATTTCACTGAACGTCACATTCCGCAAGGGAAAGGGAATTGCTGAAGTGAATGGAAAATGAAAAGGTTGTACTTCATTAGTAGTAGGCAAAATTAATGATCCGCAAAAATATTTTTGATTGGCTTTTGATTGAAGCTCAAAGGAGGCAACCTGGGATTGTATACATGGAAGACTAACATTATTACATTATGTATTTGCTACCGAAAAAGTATTGTAAACTATGGTCCTCCACTTATATGTTTGACTTATATTGATAGAAATATTTCTTATTCTTGCCATATGAATATGTATCTAGTGAAGACGAAAAACCAATTCACAATCACCGTTCGATAATGAATAATAGTCCCAAATAATGTCATACACAATTCCATTTCTTAATCAATCATGGGTAAAATTGAACATGAAGATTGACCACTACATAGAAATAAAATAAAAACCAATTTAGCATCGTCCAACATCATTTATTATATGAGATACCAGCATTATTATGAATCGACATCATTGGTTGAGTATCGGAGACAGCGTTGACAGATTTGCAATGTGAAAAGCCCTTAGGAAAGAATCTGTAGCTTGTACCAAAGAATGAAAGTAGTAATAAAACCAGAGATGCTAAGAAATCCAGCAACATCAGCCTGTAACATCTATATTTACTAAAATTTTACTTGAAGAAAATTGTACCCATTTGACTCGTTCCAATGACTCTGGCTTCTGGATGCAATAAATGCTGGTTAGCAAAGTACAGACTTGAATCCGCTAAATTTGGGTGAGCAAACAAGTGAAAGAAAGAAAGAAAAAAAACTAACTTTGAATTACAATGATTTAAACGTGTTTACCTTGTGAATTGATTATAACGTTAGTAGATGACAGTGCGATCAAAATAGATAACAGTAATTGTTGTGTAAACACTTGACTTTTGACATCACCCTATGTCATATACCAACATAAATATAACTACAAAACAGAAAATATTAAAATAAAGTCCATTTACTGATTAATAAAAGTTGTGAATATGATAGTGGTGTCGACCACGAATGTTGAAGTTGTTGAGATAGCTGGACATCGGGTGCAACTCTTCCATATCAATATGCCTATCTCTTGGTCTCTTTTCTTCACTTGACTTCAAACTTGCTTACTTATACATCGAAATAAATAAGAATTTGTACTAGAGTTCCTATTTACTTGAAGAGTTTAATAGAGCAAAATACCTTTGCTTTCTTCGAAATCGACTCCGACCGAATTTTTCTCCGAAATTTCCTTGGTGCGCCCTTTCTATTCGACGATTTAGGATCAATGAGCTCAAGCCGATAGTATTTCATGAACTAGTACATTGAATTGCCAAATTAATAGTTGGCTGGGAAAGGACTTTACTACCACTACTCTGTTGACCTAATGGTTGACTTCTCGTTTTGATTATTATAAACAAATTACATTTAATTCTAACTAATTGGATTTAAGTGTTGATAGTATTTATCGTGAAACTAACGAAGAATGAAGACATAAGAATCAAGATCAAGGACCACACATATGGACAAACGTTTTGGAGCTCAATGATCAAGCAAGATTGAAAATTGACTAGCGTGGAAATAGATATGAGCCTTCGCATAAAAAATCGCATCGGAAGAAGAGATAAAAGCCTTTTACTAGATGCCTTTTTTATATACTCAAATGAAAAGGTAAAACACTTTAATATTTCGCATCGATTATAGCTCAAACAATTTTACTTGCATAAAAATTATTTTCAAAAGATAAGTATCTCGACTTTTAAGATTATATATTCACAGACTTATCTATACAATAAATGAGAAAATCCTTCAAGTACCTACGTGAAAATTTTATCACGAAGGAGAAAGTCCAAAGGGACATATTTCTGCCCATTCAGACGATCAAATAGACCCCCAACGATCATTTTATTGACCTTTTTCAAATGACTAGTTACCCATTTTTCAAATGGACATATCCATCAAATAATACATTTATATTCTCACTTCGTCGTATTGTTGACATCCCTACCCAAAAAGTAGTTTTCAAAAAGCAAGGTATGCTACGATCTCGATTTTCGTACAGTCCCGACAACTAATCGTTATCATGCAAGTCAAACTTATCAATCATCGTTCTCCAACCTTTTTCAAATTCATCAACAGTCTGCAAATCATATACCAATCCGTGTATTGCTGAGAATATTAAACTTTTATCAATGTGGTAGCCAAATGTCTCTGGCAATTTCATCATAATGTGCCATAAACACCATCTACGCTTAGTATTTGGAAAGACAATCTCAATTGCATTTTGCATGGTCTATCTTGATTAGTAATTATTCTATGGGGAGGCTGACCATGCATGCATTGAAGCCATATCCTAATTAACCACACAAGCATACTTGTATTTTCATTCTATAACAACTCACAACCAAACAATGTTGATTGTCCGTAATAATTCACACCAACAAAAGTGTGAAAGGCATGTCGTACTTATTTGTCAGATACGTGATATTAAAGGTGATAACATTGCCCAAACTCTGTGTACGCTTGCCTACACTTTTATCTGCCCAAAATACATTATTAAGCCAAGACTCATCGTCTAAATCCATAGCAAAGTAAAATCCAGAGCACCGTGCTTGCATATTTGAAAAGTAAGATTGTAATGCTGCTGCATCTCCTTCTCCAAATCGTAACCGTCTCAGTTATTCAATATAATTTTGACAATCCTTTTGAATATAAGTCATATTCTCATACCCATCTGCTTCCACAACTGTAGAGTTGAAACATTTGTGTAATGAAATTCCCATCATATATTTCAATTCAAGTTTTTGTTTCATATTTGCACTTAATTCTTGGTGACACCGATACAACCTAGATTTGAAAATGACTTGTTTTATGATTGTACTCGAGGTAGACGGTGTTAATTTCCCATGTTCCATGATAGTCTGAAGATGCAGATATCATTTTTTTACAATTTGTCTAACTTATTGGTTACTGCTCCATATTACTGCTTCTTCGACATTCACGGTTACATGTAAACGTCGCATATCTAACAACTCCATCGCCCATCTTTTTCGAATTCCTTTTCCTAACTGGAAAATGTACGGTATAAGCATATTGTTTATAGGAATGATATAGCTTTTTTAAGCCATAAACGTCACGCCCACCTTAGGTACAATCTCTTCATCTCCTCCTAACTTTTCTTTGTCCACAATTTTGATATTGTCTAAACTATCTCATTATCATACTGCACGAAAGGATCTTTATTCATGTCTTCTATAATTTCGCATGCTGCAACCAAGTAAATGGTAAAGTTCAGCAAAACGAAAACCAATATAACAACACAATAACTAGATGGAAATACAGCAGATTTATAGCACTATAACCAATTTGTAATGACAACACAAAAACCAGAATTTAATTCTCGTCACTTTTGTGGAACTAAAATTTTACAAAATATAGTTTGAAGATGCAGATATCCTTAATTTCCCGTAATGCATTTAACAAACTACTGATTTTTTAGATCATAATCCAAAATGCGAAGAGAATGAAACTATATATTTTTCAAAATGCATTTAACGCAATATCACACCTTCAAAATGCACAATACTAAAGAAATCTAGAATTTTGAAGTTGTCTCGCTTTCTTAATCACCGTTTGTGGGTTGAGAATCTACTTCAATTGCATCCGACAATCTTTTTTGGAACTGGAAATGCCCAAATGGCCTGGGAAATTAGCTGAGGTGGGGGTCGAGCGGTCGTAGAAGACAAACTTGGACTGATTTCTTCGAAGTCAGAGTTGTAAACATCCTCTACTTTCAAAGCCCCCTTTCTCAGTTGTCTTCTCACGTTGACTGATTTTTTTGAATGGAAAATGCACAAGTCAAATGGGGAAATCTGTTGGAGAAGCGAACATGGACTGATTCTGTCGGAGAAGGCGAACATGAAATCAGTTTGAAATGTGTTCTCAATAGGGCTCTATTTTGGGAAAAACCAATTGCGCAGTGTGCATAAGGTTTAAATCTCTCTTCCTTTGTTTTTTCCTTTTTTTTGGCCATATCATCAATTTTTTGAAAATCTGTAAAGCCTCCGTAGAAGTATGTCTATACTCGTAGAATTATTCAAATTTTAATATTTGTTTCGGTTTTCAACTCTTTTTTTTTTTTTTTTGGGGTGAAAACTTGTGCTTTTAGTTTACTAACTTAATTATCCCAAAAATAGGAACTCTTATTATATTTTTTGTTTGATTTGCAAACAATACAAAAATATTAAGAAGTTCAATTTGAACTTGAGTATCTCCAAGAGACTATTTTCAAAATATTAATTTAAAAAGTCTCTTAGAGCATAATTTTAAGAATTGACTTTTTAAAATAGAAAGTATCTCATTTTTAAAGAATATTGAAGATGTTGGCATCTTAAATTTTCAAGTCAGTCCAAAAGTATGAGGACCAATTTTATATGAAACTCAAAGTCGAGAGAAATTGTAAAAATTACCTAGTAAGTAACTCAAGTGGTCCCCAACTAAATTCACAAGCCCCATCTCTAGGCGCATTTCTACTCGCTGCAAATTATCCATTTCTCCCTGCTCATTCTGTTTCTGATTGACGCAATCCACAAATTTTTTTTTTTTGTTTATTAACCAATTCATGTAAGAATTTCACCAAAAAGGAGATTAATTGCTTAAACCCATATTCCATTTTTGTGATTTTATTTGCGAGCATTCGCTCTACCCATTTAATTCCCCAGTATTTTTTTTCTTTGTTCTTGTTTATGTGCTTTACTCAGTTATCAGTTGATTCTCTGCATTGTTTACTTCAATTTTCTCTCCCCTGAACTTGCGTTTTTTTCCTTTGCAAATAAGCGTGAGCGTATGCGCGTGTTTTGGTGGTAAAATGGTTCAATACTTGTGTTCTTGAAGCTGTATAAGAGATGAACAGAATTTCTTAACTTTTCAGTGTTTGAAAAGATGGGATATATAACCTGTATGTTTGATTGTACTTGTTGATTTTCATTTTATGATGGGTTATTTTTCTACCAGTATCTCCTGTTTGGGAAATACATTTTTTATGCAAACTGAAAACGTTTTGAATACTTATAAATTTCCTGTGTGGAAAAACTCTATCTTGAGAAACCCCAGAGGGTTCAAATTAATCAAATCCAATTTTCGACCACTATCAATGGTTAAAAGTGTAAATGAGGGGGAGAATAAGGAATATACTAACGAAGAAAAGGAAGAGAAACCAAGATTTAGATGGCTTAAGATAGACTTTAATATTTCAGAGGGGCAGAAACAGACTATAGCTCAAATCCCACCAAAAATGGCGAATCGTTGTCAGGCTTTGTTAAAACAGATTATTTGCTTTTCTCCTGAAAATGGAAGTATATCACTTATGATGGCTGCATGGGTGAAGAGCATGAATCCCCAGAGAGCCGATTGGCTCTCGGTTCTTAAAGAATTGGAGAAGTTGAATCGTCCAATGTATTTTGAGGTGTGACAAGTTCTTCGTATATTCCAATTTCTTTATTAATTTCATATGATTCTGCATTTTGTTGGGTTACTTGATGAATTCTTCCAGTTGATGTGGTTGCTTAATGCATTTGTTAGCTGTTGGTAGTTCGGAAATGTTGTTCTGAGATAGTCTGCTTCATTTATTCTGCTTTTTTCTGCATATTTCTCTGTGTATAAAGCGATTAATTTGACAGTGTTTAATGTTTAAAATTGTTATTTATTGCTATTTACATTTATAATTTTGGTGAGGGCGGATTATATGACACTGCCACACCTCCAAAGGATCCAAAGGATTTTTTTTTTTCCTGTTCAAAAATCTCTTTGAAGGAATATGTTATCCTATTTACTAGCCCTGCCTGGTATACAAAGTTTATAGATATACTAATTAGAAGCCACCATATTACTTTGTGGTTCCAACATTCGATGTCTTCCTATTCTACGTGTTTCTTTCCTTTCCTATGCATACATTTGTATGAAAAAAAGTTAAATTCATACCTAATAATTCTTGATTGAATCACTTGAGAATATAGTTCGGCGGATTCTACCAGATGTATTCTAACAATAAATTTCAGAAGCAAGAGAACAAGATTTAGATGATAATTGCAGCTGGTGTTACTTTTGATATGATGAATACCTATCAGGAGATTGCATTTTTAGATAACTAGAGACCATTTTAAAATTGGTTTTAGAATTGATGACTTGTTCTGTTTATGATTTGCAATCTATCCTTTCCTTTTTGCACCATTTTCTAGTTCAAGCAAAGTGAGCATTCTGTCTGGTGTAAATTCTAAAGTATCTTTTCGGTGCAGCACCACTATGCACGTGTTTACATGTATACATGTAATATTATACTTTGCCATTAAATGGAACTGATATTATAAAATATGTTTTACAGCATTCCACTCTTGGAGATTTGTAAATCTTGCAATAAAATATGTAATATAGTTTACCTTGGTTACACTTTCTGAATTTAGGTTATAATAATTCTCAGGTGTTGGAACATGCACTTACTGAAGAATCATTTGAAGCTAATGTGCGTGACTATACCAAGATGATTCATTGTTATGCAAAGCAAAACAAGCTGCAAGAAGCCGAAAATACTCTGTTAGTGATGAAAAACAGAGGTTTCATTTGTGATCAGGTTACCTTAACTACTCTAGTTCACATGTACAGCAAGGCTGGTAATCTTAAGTTGGCTGAAGAATCATTTGAAGAGATGAAGCTTCTTGGCACACCGTTGGACAGAAGGTCATATGGTTCAATGGTCATGGCCTACATTAGATCTGGAATGCTCGACCGTGGAGAGAGTTTAATTAGAGAAATGGAAGCTCAAGACATATATGCAGGAAGAGAAGTCCTTAAAGCGCTGCTGAGAGCATACTCTATGATTGGGGATAGTCGAGGAGCTCAAAGGGCTTTCGATGCAATTCAATTGGCTGGAATCATTCCCGATGTCAAGGTCTGTGGGCTTCTCATAAATGCCTTTGTAATGGCAGGTCAAACTCATGAGGCTGTCATAACATTTGACAATCTGCGGAAAGCTGATCTTGAACCTAATGACAAATGTGTGGCTTTGGTACTGGCTGCTTATGAGAAGGAAAACAAATTGAATAATGCACTGAACTTCTTGATAAAATTGGAAAAGGACGGTGTTATGATTGGAAAAGAAGCTTCTGAGTTACTAGCAAGGTGGTTTCAGAAGCTGGGCGTGGTGGAAGAAGTGGAACATGTGTTGAGAGATTATGCTTCGAGTGCCTGAACATGCTTTATAAATTTTCATCAACCTCTGTCCTTCTCACTTCCGACTTGTTATTAAGATGTTATACATCAGGTTACATGGTGCCTTTTCATCTCTCAACTAAACCTCATGATGAAGTGATGCATTGCAGGTAAACCCATCCCTTTTTTCCTTTCCATCTTTCAACTGCACGCAGAGCAGGACTCACTATCCTTCTTGTACTGGATTGTTGTCACTTTGTTGAGTTGCTGATCCGGGTTCCTATTTACAGTCAGCTTGGCTTGGACTTTTTTATGTTTCTTCATTGAATCCAATTGAAATACACTTCTCTATTGGTATTGCTACTTCCAAATGGAGTTGCCTCACCGTCAAAATGTGAATGCTAAAACCCTTCTCGTTGTAAAAGCCTAAAAAAATGTATGGTACTCTTAGAGGCTTTTGGTGGGGAAGAATGTCAGCTAGCAGCTGCTCTGGAAAATCAACTGCTTGACCCTTAGGATTTTCAATTTGCTGTAAATTCTTGGGTTTGTGACGAATTTGTGTTGTAAAAGAAGTGAATTGAATGGAGCTTAGAAGGAAATTGGTATTGTTTCCTGATATTTGAATTACAATTGCAATGTTGAGCTTTCGAGAGGCTTAAGTCTCCCTAAATGATTGAATAAGAATGATAAACAGATAGGCAGAAAAACAGGGAAGAAAAAACAGAGTGATGTATCAGCTAGTTGTTGGGTGTTTTTTATTTTTCAAACTCTTCAATCATGCATCGACACATGTGTAGCTTGTTTTTCACCTTGTTTCTGTAGCATCTTTCCTGACAGAACACTCCTTCCCCTTTTTATAGTTAGATGATTATAACATTTGTTCTACTAAATTCCCATAATACACATAAAGAACTAACAATTAATTGAACAAACTTGAGGGTTCCTATCAAAATTCAAACAATTTATTGCCATTTTGGTGCCAGCAAATTTGGAAATAGCTGGAAATCTAGTAGCTTATATGGTTGATATACCGAAAACCTTTTTGGGTCACATTTTCTCTCACCTTGTCATTTTTCGTGTGTCGAATAATTCAATTTGTTGCATGATATACCCAAAAGTCAAAACAGCTTCTTAGTTGACCCAAAAATAAAAAATAAAAATTCAATTGACCACATTTTGACCAAATTTAAAAGGACAAAATTGTAATTTTATATATTTTTTTTCAATAAAATGATAAAACATTAATAAAAAACAAAAAGTAAAAAATAAAAAGAATTTACCGTTCATCTTCCCCATAGCATCCGTATGTCAACCAACCAAACTAAAATCCATTTTGTCACTCGC